GCAAACGTATATCTGCTATAACAATCGACTACTATACTTTATTTTTCGAATTAAGTATTGTTTTCGTGACGACCAGTAAATCAGTAATATGAGATGTATTCATCAAATTTCGTTTAACGTGATGAAGGACTGGTAGAAGAAGAATTTTCCCACAATCATATGAGTTGAGCTGACGTTTCCATTTCATTTCAAATAGCCTTGCTTTCCTAAAAGCTGTTCTCATCCCGGCTGAAGTGGACTGCACTTTCGACTGCATCTTTCAATGAAAAACATCAGCTCTACTCATATTATTGTTGGAAAAATCAACTACCACTGCTTTATCATCTCAAACTAAATAGGGTGAACAAAACTCATCCAAAAACTCATTCTATATCTATTTATATATACATTTCCCTCTCATCAAGTATATATATATATACTAAAGAGGAATAGACCAAACGGTCTTGTTGACTTATTGGTAACTGGAGGCTTTTGCAAGAATGAGTCGCAGGCCAGAAACATTGGAGGATGTCTTGTGGATTGCATCAACCTGAACTTATTGTTAAAGACAAACGATTGCGGTACAACGCGTCTTCTCGTGAGATTGACCTACGACTCTCTTCACAATGCACTGTCTTCACAACAAAGCGAAAATCAGTTTCACCCGCAAGTGGCATCAGAAATCGACAGAACTAGCTCACAAACACACTTATGGACAGGCGGCTAGACCTAATTTCCGCAACTTGGTTCTGTTGTCAGGACGACCTGGAGGAAAGTGGCTTGTTTCGATTGCTCTGCAATAGTAGCCATGGTTAGCGTCTTACTGCTGCTTCGGTGCCTCCCCAAATGTTTTACCGACGCTGCAAATGACGATGATCACGACAAGGTACAGGGTACAGGGAACTAGCGCAAAGAAGACCAAGGCGGTGTCGGATCTCGCCGTGGATGCCGGTGCGATGAGGTGGCCCGTTGGGGTGCGAGGCTGAGTGGAATGCCATGGCCTCCCAAAGGCCTATTCGTCAGTCTCTAAACCACCGTCAGCGATTAAGGCATTCCCACCGACAGGACTGGTTGTCGCGGACTGTTGAAGAGGAAAGCCATCGAGAAGAGATATCAGCACTAGTTGGAACCCAGTCAGGAGTCCTTACGAAAACAGTAGCAACAGCAACAGCAACAACAACAACTACTACTACTAGTACTCAAGCAACAACAACAACAACTACTACTACTCAAACAACAACAACAACTACTACTACTACTCAGGCAACAACAACAACTACTACTACTCAAGCAACAACAACAACAACAACAACTACCACTAC